TTGAGAGAGCAGGTTCTTTTATACATGTTTTTCGAATACAAAAATTACTAACTAATACTATCTAATATACATATTTTATAATCTCAGATTAAGATTTTCAGATTAAGGTTTTGAAATCAAGGTTTTGAAATCAAGATTTTGAAATCAAGGTTTTGAAATCAAGATTTTTGTGTAATATAAATATAAAAGAAGAATTAAAATATAAAAGAAGAGATCTACAAATATATTAACTAATTAATCTATATAGTATTACTAAATATAGTTATATATATGTGAAATATTAATATTAATGTAAGACATTTGTGATCAAAATTGTAAATCTCAGATTTATAGTGATAAAAGTATATAAAAATAAGAAAAAGAAAATAAATATGATATTTAGAATATAAATATAAGATTTAGGATAATAAAATAAAAGTAAGATAATTATATGATTGGATAAAAATAATGATAATCAGATGATAAATTGTAAAAAGGAAATTTCATATAATCAAAGAAAGATTATCAAATTAGAGAAATTTATGTTATTACAGTAACAATAACTTTAAATTTTATGCATTATAAAAAATAACAATAATTGAAAAAATAACAAAAAAATAAATAAATATATTTTTTTTATTATATAATTTCATAAATAAAATAAAAAATGAAACTAATAATATTAATTCCAATAAAAATCATAATCAAAAAATGAATAATTATATTTTTAAAAATAATAACAATAAAATTTTATAAAAATAAATTAATAAAAAATTATATAATAAATAAATTAATAAAAAATTATATAATAAATAAAACTATTTTTTTTAAAAAAAGATTAATAATTAGATTAAGTATTTTTATAATATAATACTTTTATATAATATAATACTGTTATATAGTATAATATTTTTATATTATATAATTTATTAAAAAAAATTCTTTGTAATTCTTTAAACTATTATTTTTTTTATTTAAAATAATATATTTTATATAATATATTTTGTTACAGATATTATTTAAAATCCTATCAAAGTTTTGTATAAATTACCAATTTGTTAAATTTTTGCAAAGAGTTATTATCAAATTTCAAAATTAAACAAAAATTTTAATTTTAAAATTTATACAAAATTATATTTTTCTTTAATAATTAATCAAAAAATTATTTATATTTGATGAAATAAAAAATTTTTGAATTATTAACTTCTGGTAAATTAATAAATATTACAAAACCTTACAAAATCTTTTATATTAATTTATATTTTATATTTTATTTTACCAATATTATATAACAATTTATTAATAAGTTTTATTATATTTAAAGTATCTAAAAAATTTTTTAGGGAAGTTAGACGGTTCTGGAACTGCAAAGTCTGGAAGCTGGACGAACTGAACTGCAGTCCCAAATCAGTTTCGGACCTGGTTCAAGGACTGAGTTCAGAACTGCGGTCCTGTATTAAGAGATGCGCGTGGGTTTGCTGTGGGTAGGGATAGGAATCGATTCTGAGAATCGATTAATTTGGTAGAATCGAGGAAATCGATACTTAGAATCAATTAAAATGTAATAATCGATTGAAATTTGAGAATCGATTTTAAAGACAAAATCGATTAATAACGATAATGCATAAATTGTGTACGTACCGGTACGTGAATACATGCAATTGGAAAATCATGTTTTTCACTTGTGAAAACATGCAAATAATATAACGCACGACAAACTACGTACTCTGTCATTCAACAAAAATGTTAATATTGATAATAACCAAGAAACCATTGCAAATATAAAGTTTAATAACTCTGATAGTGATACTAATCCCAAAGTAACTGATATTGATCGGAATCTCAATCTGATGACAATACTTCAATTGCTTCTATACCACGTAGTATCTATGAATTCAACTAATCAAAGCATAATTTCAACTAATCAAAGTACAACTATTCCAACAAAAGGGAAAAAATCAACTTTAGTGTTTATTTTACATTTTTGGACATGAACCCGGTCCATGAACCGGTCTCTTGAACCGGTCCTTTGAACCGAGTTCATGAACTGAGTCTAATTAATAAGACTGCTAAAGGAACGGGTCCTTGGTTTCTTGGGACGAACCGGTTAAAGTCCAATCTCGGACCTGGTTCATGCGGACTACTTAACATCCCTAAAAATTTTTGACAAATAAGGAAAAGCACCTAGCATTTTTTAAGATAATTTACAAATCTATAAAATTTCCTACGAGACCTCAAAGCTAGTTTACACCGAATCTAGTAAAAGAATCCTCACGGTTTCCAACAAATCAATTCGTAATTCAATCTGGCACATGACTTCTAAATATGCATGGTGCAAAACATTACCCGCCAGAGCCCGAGAAATTTATACCGGCAAGTTTTCTAAAAATAATTAGTACTAATGAGCGGTAACTATTATACTTGTAAGCCACAATATTGAGAATTGTTCAGTTTGGTGGTGGTCTTGTGGCCATGAAAGAATTAAAATATTAACGTTTTGTTGTTTGACGATCTTTCCAATTGACTTTTATTCAAATTTTGCAATCAAATGAAATAACTTATCATTATTAAATCCGTGGTGTTATTCGATTTTTATATTTCATAAAGCGTCGGGATTCTTTCAGTTTATTAAGAAAACATGACAATGACAATAATACAACGATTAAGTTTATAGTCATCTCCAACTCAACTTTTGGAAGAAGAATCAATTTCTCGTAAAAGCATCGGATCTGGATTCATCTCTTTAAACAGTGCATAATTGAATTCTTTATCGTCGCGTATTAAGCGACTAGACATCTTGTCGATTGCAATCGTAGCTAAGAACGATTGAACGTATGCATCGACTAAATCGTCAATATCAATTTTGGCTTGGTCAAATGTTTTTTTGTCGAGAGGAATTAAGCGATCTATTTCTTTTATGAGCTTCCCAGTAGAGTCTGGTACGGTGAGTGTTATTCCAAGCATATCCCATGAGTTCACTAAAATTTTAAGATTTTGTTAATAAAGTATAATTCCAAAGAGATTATATTGGAAAAATTAAATATATCGCTTACAAGCTGAAAGGTCTCGATAATCTTCCACCAATGGTGTACGTGCTCTCCTTGCATAAACACACACAGGACGAAATCCTTTCTTACATCCAGAAAGCACCATACGGAAATCTATCAGATAGTTGTCCTCGAATACGCCAGGATTAGAACCAGTGATGTAATATTGTTCAGGCTGAAGAGTTTTATACCAAGAAATGTTGCCAACAAGTGATTGCAAAAGGAAATTATCGTAATGATGCTTTTCGTCGAGAAAATTTTGTAGTTCTTTGGAATTGGTAATGGTATACACGCCACTTCCTAAAATGAAATACTATTATATATTTGATATCACACAAGAAATTCTAGTAAGATACTGATGAGAAAACATATTTACCAACACTACTATAAGGTGATTTTATAACTGCATGCCCGCCCATTTGCTTGATTTGAGTCGGAATTTCTGCTTTTTTCAAGTTACATAGAGTCTTTGGGTATTTCACTGTTAGTCCAGATCCTGAAAGTTCTTCGTTAAATAGCTCGTAAGCTCTTGATGCCATCATTTTATTTCGACCACCGGCTAAGCAGGTGACGACTGGATTCATTACTAATGTACGAGTGATAAGTGGATATACTATCCACGGTGTTTTCATTCCCATACGGAAGCATGCTCGTATTGAATGCCATTCTTGATTTTTGACATAATTATTAATATGAATAATTCTATTTTTCTTTTATTTGCATACCTCCATTTGCATCACGAATATAGAGAATCTGATGAAGCCATTTAAGAGGAGGATTTGGATCATCGAATTTCCAAGTCACAAGCCAAACCTTTTCTTTCGCAACTTCAGCCAAAGCAGCAGCATACCCAGATGATTCCATTACGTTTGTATAATGGACCACAGCCAGCCCACCTAACAAGGGATCTGCCTTCTCCAGAATATCATTAAATGCGGATTCTATCACAGATTTGTAAATACCCATTGGATCTATTGACCAAACAGCAGGCATTTGGCATAAACCAGCACTCGTTGAATTTGTCTCTATAATAATCATGTGTTGCTTTCCCGACGAATCAACATCGTTAAAAAGATCAGTTGCTTTTTTTCAAATCGAAAAAAAGTTAGTTACTATTAAAAGTAAACATAGATACACAGTGAATCTTGTTAAACCGGAGGCAACACAAACGTAGCTCCGGTTCACTGTGTAATGCGCCATGTAAAATATTGATAAAATGTGGGTCTTTACCTGCCCAACGCAGAAATTTCGGCTGATAATAAAGACATTCGGTAGCCGTTCTATTTGCACATTAGGATTGCGTTTCAAGTAGCGTGAAATAATATCTTGATTGTCTAGTTCTAAAAAATCTTTTACGACTGGATGAAGTGTAGTTTTCAAAATTTTAGGATAATAGTGATTTGACGAGTTGAATTCTCCAGGATTTATTCTGGCGGCGTGATGAGTAGGATTCCCAACTACTGATATTGTGTTTACGTGCCATTTCGAACATTGTTGTTTTCATTGATGTTTAAATTCATCGTATATTTTTGTTTATACGATGAAAATTAAACAAAAAAATAACCACTCCTCTTTATTTACATGTACAGTACATGTAAAAGATAAGGTAGAACTCTAACCACATGTACATGTATATAAACGTGCATGCATATCGATATTAGAACTTGTACAAAAACTGGTTTCCAAAATCTGATAACGATAAGATAGAAAATCTTATAAATACGAAAAAAAAGAGAATACTCTACAGTTCATATTTCTTGAGTTATGGGCTTGCGATTAAGAATATACATTAACAAAAGCTAAGTTTGATACGTACTTACTATATAACAATAAGAAAGGCATGGCATTTCTGTGGATCAAAATATATTTGTGTATCGGATACTGTAGAAAAGTAAAAAGAGAAAGGATGAAATTAAGTTATTAGTTTTTAGCATTTCAGTCCGCATTAAAGCCTAGAAGGTACACTATTCTTAATTTGTTGAGGATATAATGCCTTACTCGGAGACATTTCAGAAGTAAAATTTTTGAATAGCATCAAAAATTGAAATTAAGCCATAATTCAGATTAAAGCACGTGACTAATGAATAATTTGAAATTCTAATGTTAATGTTAATGTTAATGTTAATGTTAATGTTAATGTTAATGTTAATGTTAATGTTAATGTTAATGTTAATG